ACAAAGTCACCTACATCTTGGATGCCCTGGGGGTAAGCAGATAAACATCAAATTTTCATTTTTGGGTGAACTATCCCTTTAAGCAGTGATAAAGGCATTGCATTATAAATATACTTTATTTTAATGAAAATTATAATAATAAGAACTCCGATAAACCGTATATTGCCGTAGTCGTGTGTTTATTAGTCACGTTGAATCAATGAAAGCAGTTGAATCTTCTGTTTATTCAGCTGCAGCGATAGGCATTTTCTGGGATTCTTCTGCGAGGCGTATTTGGAGTTTCAGCGCGAGAGCGCCCTCTGGCCTTTGGATGGAGATTTACTGCTGATCACAGAACCGTGCTTCACTGAAAGATACGCATGACAATCGCAGCTTCTGTCGAATCGCGATCTCGATTCCATTTCGATTTATCGTACAGCCCTAATTCCACGCATTAATTTTAAAATCAAACGTATATCTTGTTGTTTTTCTTTAGTGTATTTATGTGTTATCTGCACAATGAAAAACTCACCTGCTTGTCCTTCTTTGATTTTTTCACTTTCATTTTAATCTTTTTCCCTGAAATCATACTGTATTTGCCAGATTTCTTCTTTTCCTTAAGATACTGGGGATGACAGAAATTCTGGTATATCACCAAACTTTGCAACAGAAACATTTAATCAAAATCAAAATAAACAAAAGCAAAGAGACTATAGCACATTGCTAAAATGTGATGCCCACTATGAGGTTTTGAGTCGAGTTGAAAAAAGTACCTTTGAAATTTGAACAGGTCCAGAGCTGTCATCTTGCCCTTTGTGTCCCCTTTCCTTCTTCCGCTTACGTGTCTTCTCTTTCTTTCCTTTCTATAATAATAATAGTAAAAACAGATAAGTGACAATTTATTCCAAACCAACATTTAATCAATGAACATCGAACAGCTTCTAAAAAATATATATATCAAATTAAAAAAATGCTTGCTTTTGTGTTCCACAGAAAAAAATAACAATATACAGGTTTGTAACAATGAGGGTGAATTATTTTTTTGTGTGAATTATCCCTTTATACTTGCTTAATCTGACAACTCTGGACAAAAGTACACACATTTACAGCGTCAACTGAAATGAAAAGAAAAAAAGACCCAGGTACCTTTTTTCCAGGTCTCTCTTTCCTTTTCTTTGAAGACTTTCTTTGTTTTTTGCAAGAATCTAGCAGTGGAAGCACAAAACACATCTCTTATTTAGATCTGCTGCATCATCATAATCAATTCATCTCAATTTCTTCTTAGAGGTATGTGAAGTAATGAAGTTTTACACCTACAAAAATTCTCCTTTCGGACTATATACCCTTGGGGGTGAAGCCGGACTTTTATTAAAGGCTGTTTTTTTTTATCTAACTTACCTGAGCTATCAGAGCTGGAGTTACTACGTGATGATGAACTGCTGGATGAAGTCCGTGAAGAGGAGGATGATGAGGAGGAGGAAGAACTGGAAGATGATGAGGATGATCTGCTTCGGCTTCTTGCTCGTTTCCGGTTTTCGTTTTCTCTTCCTGTCAATATATACACTGTATTTGCAAGCAAAATCATTTCTGCATGTTTCAGAGTTAGTGATTCTGTTCTCCACATTTCCTTTCCTAACACAGATCAGTTGTCTAGAGCAGAGGTTCCCAACTCCATCCCTGGCGGCCTGCTGCTCTACATATTTAGCATGTCTCTCTTATTTAACACACTTGATTCAGATCATCAGCTCGTTAGAAGAGAGCTTCACGCATGAACTGTGTTCCGTCTCGCACACTTCAATGCCCTTTGAATGGAACATATATACGCTCCCTTCGAACTGGAATCATGATGGAATATCCTGTGATGTCCACTTTGCAGGGCACTTTGGGGGCAGTCGTGGCCTTAGAGTGTCGGACTTGTAACCCAAAAGTCGAGGGTTCGAGTCTCGGATTGTAGGTGGGGTGAGTGAACGTACAGCTCTCTCTTCCACCTTCAATACCACAACTGAGGTGAGACCCTTTAGCAAGGCACCGAACCCCCAACTGCTCTCCGGAGGCTGCAGCAAAAATGTGTTCATGGTGTGTGTGTTTTTGTTCACTATTCACTTGGATGGGTGAAATGCAGAGCACAAATTCCGAGTATGGGACACCATACTTGACTACACTTTCACTTACGGTCGAATAGAACATACAAGAGATACATACAAAATGTGCAGAGCGGGGGTCTCGCGTGGACTAGAGGAGCACTGCTCTAGAGAAACTCACCTCTGCTGTGAGAACTACGTCTGCTTTTTGTACTTGACTCACTTCTCTCCACGGTGTCCACTTTGGCAGACTAAAAAAAATAAAAAAATAAAGCATATCAACTCAGCATCCAGATCTTTTCAAATGTTCAAAACATGGACTGTGTTCTGTATGAGAATCACAGGCAAGAATCGGAAGCTCAAAAATGCTGTTAAGGTAAGTCTGTACAGTCCTTCTAGTCAACTGCTCATTTACTTCACAAATACGTTACACGTTATCAGTATAAAATGTTTAGAAACAAAAGTTTGTAAACATCAACCAAAGAATTACAGCTTCATCTGAAGGTTTAACGAGAAGGCTTTTAATGTAAGCAGTTGAACACTTTACCATGTTTATATTAAATTGCCTTCAAAATGTGGTCCTTCCGACCGCAACAAAAATCGGAAAAATCAGAAGAATAGCCAGATATGAATATAATCCGTTCTGAAAATAAGCTGCGTGGAATATAAATGACTCTTTTTCATTTCTGCGATCGGTGCGTGTGAATTTATGAGATAAGCACCGCTGCCATCTTGTTTACGTCACACACAAACTATATCATCCGGGTACTGTTCAGCAGCGCAGGCGCGTAACCGACGCAAGCACAAATAAATAGCTCCTGTTTTCTGCAAATTGAATATTAAAGTTTCTGAGTATCATTATTCAGGTATAAACGTGTTCAGTTCGTTTTTAAAGCAGTACGCAGACGGCGTCATCGCATGATAGCTGTTAATTTTCTAAGCGCTGGGCCATTATGGCAATTATGGATGCTATTCCATCTGGTATATGCGAGCTTTTCAAAAATAATACTCTATCATTAGGAACAGTTCCCGTTCCTGAACCTGTCAATACACCTATTGGTGAGATATGTTTCACTGTAAAAAGAAAAAAGAAAAAAGAAAAACCTATTCCTTGAGAACATTGTCTCACACCCCTCCTGCAGTTTCATTTTGGAACAGCCTTTTTGATCATTTAAATTGGAAAAATATATGGTCAATGCAGCAAAAGTTTTTCTTCTTCTTACAAATAAAGTAAAATAAATATCTTTTAAATTACTTCATAACATTTACCCTGTCAAAAATGTTCTGACGAAAAATCTGATTTTGACACAAAATGCGCCTTTTGTCAGAATGACACTGAGACTCTTCTTCTTTTGTTTTGGTCATGCAGTTATACTTCTCAGCTCTGGAAAGATGTTAGTTTGTTTATCTCAAATCTTATAAGATTTTTCAATGAATGCCAAATTTACTATTTTTATTTTTTTATTTTTTGTAGCGGATCCCAATGCCTGTTTTGTAATAAACCTAATTCTGTTCTTAGATTCTGTATTCACAAATGTAAGTTCTCGAATTGTAAACCTGTTTTTGTAGTATTTTTACAAGAGATAAAAAATTATTTAGCCTACTTACAATTTCAGTTTCACTTAACAAGAAAACACTCAGAACATGTACAATTTGCACAGCCTACACATTTTCTACTCTATTTAATGTTTAATTTGTGTTATTTTAATGCCCTCTTTTTTCTTTTTCTTTTATTATTTATTATGTTTCTATTTTGAACTATGGTACTGATTGTTTGTTTTCTGTCTTTCTCTCTATTGATGTTATTTTTGTACCATGACATTAGATTTGGTTGTACCATAGTGTAAACTGAATGTTCAAATAAAGCATTATGAAAAAAAAAAAGAATCTACTGTATAAACACAAATCTCTTTTCTTTGAAAACTGGTTTAAAATTGTATTCTTTTTGTGATTCAACTTTTCAATCAAAATGGTTCAATCTGAGTTCTTGGTTAAGCATGTAATTCCTGTTAGTCCAAAAGAGTTTGCATAGAGTTCTTATGCTTTTTAGAGGTCTCTCTTTTCCAATCTCTTGTCACTCAGTGGATCTATGTAAAACATTTGTAAACAGTTTTGTTTCAGGATGAGTCTGTTTCTGTGCCTTATGTAATCTCTTAAGTGATATTTCCTGGAAGAAAGTTTGGTCATTATTACCTCACAAACACCTAATAACTAACAAAATGAGAGAAAATACATTTAAGTTGATTCAAAGATTTTACCCAGTTAAGTGCTCTCTTAAAAGACTTAGAACAGTATTAATACCAACTGTTCTTTCTGTTTAGAGAACACTGAAATCTCTTTACATTTATTTTGGAACTGCTCTTACACAACATTTTGGTGTGACATTGATTTTATCAAATGTTATGTAAATCCTCATTTTGAATTTACTTATAGAAATGTAATTTTTGGTTTTCATGAATGCGAAAAGAAAAAATATACCTTCATAAACCTTATTTTCCTGTTAGCCAAATATCATATTCATAAATGTAAATTTTCTAAATGCAAACCTCTTTTTTTTTTTTTTGAGTTTATTTTCCTTTGATCACTCATTTATTTCTGAATGTAGTTCCACTTTTTTTTTTCCTCTGCGCAACATGCTAATGAGAGGGTGTCAATTATGCAAGAGTAGGCGGATCGTGTGTGACGCGCTTGAGCGTTTGCCTGCGCATGCGTATTAACTTCATCAGTCAAGGGGACTGATTATTATCTTACACTTTTTCATAGGGTTAGTTTTGTAGTTATAATCATGAGAGAGCTAAATCATAAAAGATTTTAAGTGGCCAATGTAAAATTTTAATGCTTACAGAGCTCTTAATTGCAATACTGAACTGTTATTTGCTTAATAAACATACTTGTATTTTCTGTTCTGATAACTAATGGGAAAAAAAACTGTCTTTCCCTCGTTAAACCCATTAAACACTT